TTAAAAAAAACTTTATTTGAACATATTTGAAAATGGTAAGGAAAGAACCCTGTTTAACACCCTGTTTAACTCCAACAATTTATTATTACCTAAAGACACAAGCATATTTACAGTGACATACAATCACATTTTTAATTAGTTTATCAATTAGTTCTGTTCATAAGATTTTTTCTAAATGTTCCATTATATGCTCAAATTGATTAGCAAAAATGTCAGACTTGTGCATTAGTTTTCTTTTCTCAGCATGACCTGTTGCCTTTGAAATTTAATTTGTCTTTCAATTTTAGACATTTAATGTTTATTCTAATGAATTCTTACTTTTTATAATATGTTTTTTGCAACTTTTGGATTAATTTATTTTTAATGTAGATTAATTTCTATTTAGTTGATAACCAAAACCTTTTCATTAAATAACTTCTTCATTAAATAACTTTTAAAAGTATTTCTGAAATGGATTTACAGGAATATTTAATTTTGAATTGGTTTTTATTTTTATTCGCTCCACAATTCATTGCGATATAAGTTTTTGTAATTGCTTTTTTGGATTTATTTTAAATGTTTCAAAGTAATTTATCAGTTGTTATTTTATATTGTAAGTAATAATACTATTATTGTAAAATTGTAAAAACCAGCACAACAATCATATAAAAATTAAAAAATTGGGATCAGGAAATATATTGGGATCAGGAAATATATTTTGCCTGATCCCAATATATTTTATAAATTGAATGGCAACATTTTCCATTCACAATTTGTTTCAAAACAACCTATGTAGTAAAAATTTGATTTATGGCAATTATTAATTTTTTTTTTTAATAATTATTTTGTTGTTCATAAGGTAATTTCCTCGCAATAAAAACAACAGGATATTTATTTTATTTATCTATATTGCCATTGAAGTAATTTCTACTTAACCTTCTTTCTTACAAAAATAACCAATAATTTATATATATAACTAAAAACCTCAAATATTCATATTAAAAACTGTGTGAACCTATTGAAAATTGTTAGTATTAAACCACAGAGGCATCACTGTTACAGATTTTTCCAGAATACAATTACACTCCTCCTTGATCCTTAAGGATCACACAAGCCATCAATCATTCAAGGTGCAAAAACTCAATGTAAACATAGTTGGAACTACTCTTGCAGCCATCTTTCAACCATTGTCACATCATTGTAATTTTGCTTTTCTTTCTCTTTTCTGGAAATACTATAATGAGTGGTGTTCTAAAGAGCTTTTGTTTCTTGTGCCAACTACTAAAATTCATTCTTGTGTTACTTTTCATTCAATTAAGTCTCATCCATTTACTATGAGCGTTCTAAAGTGCTGCAATTCTTATTCATCCTTATGATTTTCAACATCAGTTCTTTGAAATTCGCTCCCTTCATCTGTTTTCCTAATTCATATAATTTGCAATCTTTTAAGTTGTTTCTTAACAATTATCTTGCTTTATAAATTTCATCTTTTCTCTTCCAGTAACAGAGCCGATGACACAGGGGAACCGGGGAAGGTGGCACACCACCTTCCCCCCCCCCCCCCTACTTCTTTTCTAAAGGACCTTTTTTTCTTTTTTTTTCTTTTTTAAGTATAGAGGATTTTTTTAAATACTTGATGATTGTGCCCCTCCACTTTGAAACCTGTTTTGTCACCCCTGAGTAAAGCTCAACTCAAATAGTGGTTGCTTGCAGCCTTGTTGGAAGTGAAGATGTAAAAAAATTTAAAAAAGTCAACCAATATAGCCCATATTGGGCTATATTGATTTACAAGTTAAAATTTGAATAAGATTTAAAAAAATAGTATTTAAAACTCTGTTAATATAAAGAAAAAGAGTTTTCATAAATATTTCATTTAGAAGTAACTATTATCTAGTTATGTTAAATAAGATAATAACTTACCTGTTCATAAACATAACTTATTCATGGCACCTATGCAAACATTCATAAACATAACTTATTCATGGCATCTATGCAAACATTCATAAACATAACTTATTTATGGCACCTATGCAATCATAATAATGCAGTTATTAGATATTAAATGTCCTATGAAACTTAATTGAATTTTGTTATGGTCCAAATAAAACATTTATAAGAAATATTTTTTATTAGCATCCTTTTAACAAGTAACTGACCTAAAAACTTGATCATTAAATCCAATCAATTTAATGAGTTGAGAATTGCTGAAACAATTAGACTTGTTAAAAAGCATATTAGAAACTGGAGATAAAAAATATTATTGGTTAAAGCGTACAATGATAACAGTTAACAAACCATTATCTCAATGAAAACAACAAATTTAAATTGAGAAATTTGATATTTCATGATCAAGTTAAATTGTATGTGTATTTAGTAGAATTGTTGTTTTTTTCCAAAGCTAAACTGGTTGTTATATAAAAGATTATTAGGGATGATGTAACGCATTGTAAACATAGTTGGACCTGCTCTTGCAGCCAACCTTCAACCTCTGTCACATCGTCGTAATGTTGCTTCTCTTTCTCTGTTCTACAAATACTATAATGGGCACTGCTCTAAAGAGCTAGCGTCTCTTGTGCCATCTACTAAAATTCATTCTCGTGTTACTCGTCATTCAATTAAGTCTCATCCTTTTTCTGTTACTGTTCCTAAGTGCTCCAAAAACTCTTATTCGTCTAGTTTTTTTCCTCGAACATCAGTTCTTTGGAATTCGCTTCCTTCATCTTGCTTTCCTGATTCATATAATTTGCAATCTTTTAAGTCGTCTGTCAATCGTTATCTTGCTCTACAATCTTCATCTTTTCTCTTCCAGTAACTTCCAACACTAATTAGTGGTTGCTTGCAGCCTTGTTGGAAGCGAAGATAATTAAAAAAAAAAAAAAAATGTATTTGTATAATTTCTTATTTATATAATTTCTTGTACATAGCATCACTTCTTTAGTTTTTTAAGAGGTTTAAAGACCTTTTTAAATTTGAAAAATCAATCAAGAAAATAGTAATAATAAAAAAGAATAATAATAGTAAATAATAATAGTAGATAATAATATTAGTAGCAGTAGTAGTAGTAGTAGTAGTAGTAGTAGTAGTAGTAGTAGTAGTAGTAGTAGTAGTAGTAGTAGTAGTAGTAGTAGTAGTAGTAGTAGTAGTAGTAGTAGTAGTAGTAGTAGTAGTAGTGTATATATATACACACACACATATATATATATATACATATATATATATATATATATATATATATATATATATATATATATATATATATATATATATATATATATATATATATATATATATATATATATATATATATATGTATGTATGTATGTATGTATGTATATATATATATATATTTATATATATACATATATATATATACATATATATATATACATATATATATATATATATATATATATATATATATATATATATATATATATATATATATATATATATATATATATATATATATATATATATTTTAGTTGTTTTGAGAACATTTAAATTTATGTATGTTTCCGTAATTAAGTTCATTATTTTATCGTAATTTTTGAAATAATTTGTTTACAGACATACATGGAAACATACATAAACTCAAATGTTCTCAAACATTTTTGTGCGGAAAAATAAAAAAAACACAAAAAACCCGCCAAATCTTCGAATAACTAATTCTATTGGTTCAAAAAATACTAACCAAAATTTCTAGAGTTATTCTGTTGAAATATTTTAAAAAATTGTATTATTTGAGTTTTGTTATGATTTTGTTGAGATTTCTAGCATAAATTGTTTTAATAATATACTATCAAACGAACTATTATTTTAAATCTCGGAGCCATATCTACAAAGCTATAAATGTTTTAAACTAACATTATTTGTTTACAAAAATAAATCTTTTTAATTTACTAACTTTAATTATTTTTGCTTCAGCCATTCTTACAAGCTCGTTATACTTAAACTTAAAGTAATTTTTTTCTGTTTTAAATACTAATTAAAATTATAAAGCCCATCAACTAAACATCATCAGCGTTATTGTGAAGCAGTTCCGCTTCCTCCTCACATAGTAATTTAACGTTTTTAGTTAATTTCTATTTAGCTAATTGAATTTCTACAAAATCTCAATGATTTAATTATTTCATTTTATAAGATATTTAACACATTTGAAACAATTTTTCTTAGTATACTAAAAAAAATTGTTTCAAATGTGTTAAGCTTTTCAAACTACGCGAAGCATAAAACAGTTATTGAAAAAACTTTTTTATTTATAAATAAATCATCTAGCGTTAGTTTTATTAGTTGAATCTTGTTGGACTTTTCAGGGCCGGGGACTGCATTATTTTGGCGGCCTTTATTATGTGCCACAGCGTAAAAATGACTGAAAAAAAATCTGAATGGTTCTCTTGACTATTTTGCGGCCCCTAACATTGCTAGTCCCAAGGCTATAGCCCTTCTACTCCCCCCCCCCCTCCTCAATTCAGCACTGGAATAATAAATAATAAATAAGACAAGTATATAAATAAAAATTATATATACACTTTGATAAATTGGAGAACATTTGTTTCCTTATTAAACAATCATTATTAGTAAGTTGTTACTTTATATAAAAAAATGTCACTTAATTTTATAAAAAAAATTATAAAAGAGCGACGATTTAAAAAAAATTTGCTCTAATCGTATTTATTTTGCTTAAAGTTTTTTCGCGTTAAAAGCTATTTTGCTTTTTTTAACTGTCTCTCATCGGTCCAGTTTATCTTATTGCGCTTTTTTGTGTGTTTTTGAAATGTTCTCAAAACGACTAAAAAATCTGTCCTGTTTTTCGCAACTAAATATTATTTCCGTGGTCAATTATCGAGTGCGATTGCACCAGCTTCCCGACCAAGCCTGATTATATATACACATATATGTATAAGTATTTATATATATATATATATATATATATATATATATATATATATATATATATATATATATATATATATATATATATATATATATATATATATATATATATGAATTTTTTGTCTAAGAATGTGACTGTCAATATATTGATCGAGAAAGTAATGAAGGACAGAAATTTTCTGAATCAGTTCTGAATCAACTACCTAGAGAATCAAAAGTTAATGAATTTCAGGTAAGGTTAAAAATTTTAATTCAAATGAAAGTAAAAATAAAAATAAAATAAAAACTTATAATAACTAATAAAAGTTGTTTACACAAGTTTTGTTGAAATAAAACTTTTCAAAACATTTTTCAAAGGTTGGAGAAAAAGGAGAACAAGGAACAAAAGGGGAAACAGGAATTTCTGGGAAGCCAGGTCTAATTTTTATTTTATATATTTATATATTAGGGGTGTTTTTTTTTACAGGTCTGTAGTATCCAGAAGCTCTAAACATGTTGGTTGACTTATGATATGCTATAAGAAAAATTTATGAAATTTAATGATTTGGAACTTATTGTTTTGAAGCCCGGAGTCTTTGCTGGCATTATACCTAAGGTTCAAAAAATGATTGTTCCTCTTACCTAAAAGTCTTAAATTTTTTTATCATTAGTAGTCCATAAGATTTTTTGTATTTTTAGAGCTCCTGGATGCCAAAACCTATGAAGAAGTAA